CTCTGGTGAGGGGCTGGTGTCTCAAAACAGGTGGAGGGTAATGTGTCCAAGGTGAGATGAGGCCATTGTGGAAGCAGCCTGCCTCTGCTATTTCAGGCCAGCTGGGGAGTGGACAGGAGAGGCCGGGCCAGGCCAGGACCTCTGGAGCCCACTGGGTGACTCAGGGGAGGGTGGGGGCACTGAGCCAGGCACTCTGGAACGAAATCGTCGCTGGCCTGGGCCTTACCTTGTCCCCTCCCTGGAGTGAGGGGAGGCCAACACTGGGGTCAGAGCTCCTGTTTCTCTAGGCAGCCCTCCAGGTGACCTTGACTTAACGCTCAGTGTCACGATGGTTCTGTGTTTAACCCCTCCCTCGCTGCCTGCATCCCCACCCTCCATCCTCCCAATTCCAGACTCTGGTGGGTGGCATTGTGACGCGTAGTGCATTCCTCCCCTTGCCAGGACAGCCCTGATTCATCTCAGCGACAAAATGAAGGAAGAAAGTGCCACCTGGGGACTTCATTCTCCCAGGCTGGCGTGGCCCTTGCCAACCATAGAGCCCATCTAATGCCGTCCTGCCACAGTGGGGAAACCGAGGCTCGGGAGGGGAAGGGACCTGCCAAATTGGGAGGCAGTCCCCATGTGTGGAACCCACCTTTGCATGATCATAGCTTCTGCTGTACCGGAAACCACACTGGTGTGGCAAGATGGGCGATGTTGCCAGAGGTCATGACATAAGAAGTGGAGCTGGTACTTGAATCTAGGGCTTCAACTCCACATTGCTTTCCACCTGCTTTAGAGCTCAGCTTGTTCGGCTCCTACACACCCCTATGTCAGGTGGCTCCCCAACTTCTCAAACCCTTAGGTGACAGAGAGCTTGCTGCCACTCAGCGTGGCCCATTTCACAGTGTGATAAACTCAGGAGATTGAACCAGAAAAGAGGGGGAGAAGGAACGGTGTGCTTCCCCATGGGGGACCGAGGCTGGGGTGACCATGGGTTCTTGGGGACCATTGTGACTCACCTGCATTTAAGCTAAAAGGAGCGGGAAGCGAAGAAAGCGGAAGAATCAGTGGAAGCTCAGTGTCAAGAACTTTCTGACCATAGACGTGTCCAGGCTTTGGGAGAAGTGACTGGGAGTCAGGGGACCGCCTGCTCTCTCAGGGACCCCTTTGTTTGGGAGCAGTGCCCTCTGCTGAGCCCAATGACCTGGTGTCTTAGATTGGGCTGCCACCACCACGCAACACGGAGTGAGGGGCTTAGACAATAGACATGAATTTTCTGACAGCTCTGGAGGCCGGAAGTCTGAGATCAAGCTGTC